GGAGAAGAAAATGAAAATTTTCAACGACGCAGTTATTGGATGCTTGAAGAGTGAGTCTGTAAAGTTTAATTCCCTTATTCTTTGTGTTCATTCGCATGCCTTGTGAAGATTTATCAAAAACTTCTTTTATTATTATTTTTTGGCCTTCAGCATTTCTTTTGTCATCAATCACATGACTTGTCATGAATTCTTTTACCTCCCTGATTTGCCCTGGGGTTAGGGTCTACCTCATTCCCACCCCATTGCCCTACCTCTCTTTTTTGAATTTTGGTATATTTATTCCAAATCCTGTGACATTACTGTCAGTTTTGATTGAAATTTAGAATCTTGTATCAGTATTCTTGTCTTCTGAACTTCTAAAAACCTGTCATAGCATGGAGTCAAATTTTGGCAACTCATACGTGTTCGATCACTAAAGCATAAACTGAAAAGAATGCTTATATTCTGATAGACCTTCCCACTTGTTTCCAGAAATTGGAAATCACGGTTTTCAGAATAATGGTAGTCAGTGACTCAGTATGTTGACTTAGAAATTGCTAATTTCAGAATGTTGTCAGACACTGTCTTCCTTTTCTGACATACATGACCACTGTTGCAGGGAACTCTCACACATTGTTTTTGTCCACTACCTGGAAGTAAAGGTAAGACTTCTTATCCTATCTCACTGGTATCTAGAGTTACTGAGAGTGATAGGCATCAGCACCTTAAAAAACATAATTTGATTATTCTTTAATGAAATTAACTTGTAGGGTACAAGGGCATGCATTCATTGTGTTATTTTTTTCCCTTTACTTTTCAATTGTGTGGTATGGAAACCATAATTTTTAATATCCTCTAGTCTCCTACCCTCCTCAATAAGATGAGCCTACTTATTTATTTGTTTATTTTGTATTTTCTGAAACTTTATCAGGGAAACAGAGCAAATTTTAATCATGTTAGAGAAACTGAAACTGCTACTCCATATTCCCAAGAAATGAGGGAAATTATGCCCAATTCTGAGATGGGAAGTTCTATTTCTTCTAGATTTCTTCCAAATAATTGCCAAGTGCCTTCAACTACACATACTACAGATACAACAAGCCTAAATAGTGCACATGCTTCAGAATATGAAGATACTGAGTCAGGTGCATTTGTTTTAGTTTCAATAGGTCCAAATGTATAATATGTCATAAATTTCCAATACTATGCAATTTCAGAGAGGATAGCTTTGAGAATGATGAATGTTTTACCATGTTTCTTATTCTTTTTAATAAATTTTGCATTAATTGCAGTGTGTAATCCCCAAGCAACTTCTGGATTCCATTCTTTTTATGAGCGACAACAGCCTACTATGGAGAAGTTTGATGCTGGAACCTCTGATCCTTATGTTCCTCTTCCTCAGTCCTATTCAAGTAAATGTTTACCCTTTTTTTTTTCTTTTTTTTTTTTCAAATGGTATCATTCTATGCATTAAAGTGTTGCTTTTTAGCTGTTTCTAATTCTTAATGTTGTTTACTGAAAACAGATAGTTTTGAAGAAAAGTTGTCAATGGTTCCTGGTATGGATTTAGCCTCCATTCAAGCAGGCAAGGGAAAATATGGCAATGTTTCTGAATTATCATATGAGTCCCAGAAGCAACCAGACTTTTTATCATGGGAAGATATCTTGGAAAATTTTACTCCTAGCATGCAATCCATGCAATACCAAGCATCGTTTTCCTCTACACATCCCGATACCATGGGCCAACTTTTGAGCAACAACTTCCTTAGAAGGCAGGAGTTTGGGGGGAACCCACTAATGCGAGAAGAGTCTCAGGTACTAATTAATTAACATGGCTGATGTGTAAATGCAATAAATCAGACATTTATCTATGATTTCTGCTTCCAATTTAATTGTATATCAGGCTTCAGTTTGCCCTCAAAACAGGTTTCTGACATTGATTCCTCACATCTATCTAGGGTTCTGATGTTGATAATTCTATGCAAAATGACTCCCAAACACAGCTTTCAGATGGAGAGCGTCTTTATGTTCCTCCACCGGATTCAGATGGTGGCTTGAACTTGGAGGGAAGGTCAATCTATGGTTCTGCCACAGGGCAGCATTTGTTATATGGTTCTTTATCAGAAGCAGCGTTAAAAAAGCTTGACAGTTTTAACCGCTGGATGAGCAAGGAATGTGGAGACGTTACAGATGTAGATGAGTCACATATGCAGTCAAATTCTGCGGCCAACTGGGAAACAGTTGACAATGGAAATGAGATTGATGTATCTGGCATTCCGTCTGAAGGAAAAACAGATACCTTTACACTGGGTCCTTACTTGTCCCAGGATCAACTTTTTAGCATTGTTGATTTCTTACCAAATTGGGCATATGGAGGCTCTAAAACCGAGGTAATTTATGTACACAATTGTTGATACATATACAATTATATCAACTGAGCAAAGGAATATCTGTTTTTCACAATATCAGTTGGGGCAGACTTCCTTGCTAGAGTTGTATCATTGTATGTATTATGTATTAGATATTTTTTTTTTTTTTAAATTTCTTTAATGACTTGTACAGGTGCTAATCAGAGGAAGATTCTTGAAGAGTCCTGGTGTGATAGAAAATTGTAAATGGTCATGTATGTTTGGGGAAGTTGAAGTTCCAGCCAAGGTTGTAGCTGATGGTGTTCTTCGTTGCCATACTCCGACGCATGAGGCTGGCTGGGTTCCTTTTTATGTCACATGTTCCAATGGATTGGCTTGTAGTGAAGTGCGAGAATTTGAATACCGAGTCAGTCATTCTGATGATATGAATACTGCAGATAACTGCAGTGCCAACAGTGGAAATCTTCTTTATCGATTTGGTAAATTATTGAGCTTAAGCTCTAGTTTTACTATTTCTGAAATCAGCAGTCTGGATGATATGTCCCAATTGAGCAGTAAAATTAATTCATTGCTCAAGGAGGACACCTTAGGATGGGAGGAGATGTTAAAGTTTAGTTCGGAAGAGGAATGTCAGCCAGAAAAATTAGTGGAGGAACAGCTGCTGAAAGAAAAACTGCATGTATGGCTCTTACAGAAAGTAGCTGAAGGTGGTAAAGGCCCTAGTGTGTTGGATGAGGGTGGCCAAGGTGTACTACATTTTGCAGCTGCTCTTGGCTATGATTGGGCTTTTGAACCTACTGTAGTTGCTGGTGTAAGTGTGAATTTCCGTGATGTGAATGGATGGACTGCACTTCATTGGGCCGCATCTTGTGGAAGGTGAGCACCTTAACAATTACTTTTTGTGTTTCTTTAGAGGATACTCTTTTCCTCTTATGTTTCTTTTTTGCTTTTCCCTTTTTTAGTATTTTCCTTTTGTTCTTTAGTACACTAGAGAAGGCTACTGTAATCCGAAGGTTGGTTCGCAGTTTAATACAAACCAACCTACGTAACAAAGCTTCAAATATCTTATGAAAAATGGCTCTTTGGGTCAGCAATTACTCCATAATGAGAGGGAAAAAAATCAATTTCAGATGAAAAGAATGAGAAAATTACTTTCTCTTTGGATTTTTCTTGCTTTTCAGCCTATCTATTATTTGCTCTTGTTTTCCTGACTCATTCAGCTTTTATGCGCTATTACCTACCTATTTCTATTAACATAAACTTCCTTTGACTTCAGAGAGCGTGCAGTGGCTTCCCTCATTTCTTTGGGTGCAGCTCCTGGAGCAGTAACAGATCCATCATCTAAATATCCTATAGGCAGAGCACCTGCTGAACTGGCCTCTGCTAATGGACATAAAGGAATTGCTGGATACCTTGCAGAGTGTTCTTTAAGTGCCCACCTTTCATCCCTTAATTTGGATAACCAAGATGGTCATGCTGCAGAAGGAGCAAAAGCAGTGCAGGAATTTTCAGAAAGAACTGCAATTCCATTTAGCTTAGACAACACATCAGATGCCCTGACACTAAAGGACTCATTGGCTGCTGTCCGTAATGCTAACATAGCTTTTTCACGTATTCATCAGGTTAACCAGGTGCATTCCTTCCAAAAAAAGCAGTTAAAAGAGTATGGGGATGACAAATTTGGAATGTCAGATGAGCGTGCACTTTCACTTTTAGCGGTTAAGTCTTACAAGCCAGGACGAAAAGATAAATATGCACATGCGGCTGCAACTCGCATACAAAGCATATTCCGTGGTTGGAAGGATAGAAAACAGTTTATGATGATCCGAGAGAAAATTGTCAAAATTCAGGTGAATTGTATTTCCTTCTCTAATTAACCTGGTTGATCATATCCTTGCTTGGCAGCCACCCCCTCACCCCCCATGGATTATCTCCCTTGTCCAGATGTGAATCTAACTTTTAGTTTTTATTTTGGTGAAAGGCTCATGCAAGAGGTCACCAAGTTAGGCGAAACTATAGGAAAATAATCTGGTCTGTAGGAATTTTGGAGAAGGTGATCTTGCGTTGGAGAAGAAAACGGAGTGGTTTGTCTCGTTTTAAGCCAGAAGCACTTTCTCAGACTCCCAATATGCATGAAGAATCCTCAAAAGATGATGACTATGATTTTCTGAAAGAAGGCAGGAAACAAGCAGAAGAAAGATTGCAAAAGGCATTTGCTAGGGTAAAGTCTATGGTTCAGTATCCTGAAGGCAGAGATCAATATCGCAGAATGCTGCTTGTTGCCACTGAGAACCAAGAGAAAAGGGTAACAGAATTGTTTGCTTTCTCAGTTTCTCTACTCTTTTATTAGTAATCATAATTGATTTCACCTAACGTTTTTACACAATCCTAAATTTCTTAGGTATAAATAGAAAATGTTTTAAATTTACATACAGATCAATATCTTATGGAATTATCGCTGATAAGATCAAGTTATATCCTGGATATCTGATACGGAAGGAATTAAGAGCATGTCAAAATTTGAGGTTGCATTAGTTGTCTGTCTTGTTCCAGAGGAGATTTTCTTCATTTATGGAAATTGTTGGTACCTTTTGTTCTCCATTACATAGGACGAATAAAAAGTTTGATGTCAGCAGCTCGTTCCCTAGCTAAAAAGGATGGAGTATTTCATTTTTTTGGCGTATTAATAGTTTCTTTATCCAACATAATACAGGATGTATGAACTTTGTTTCCTTTAACTGACTTTGCAGCTCAATCCCCTGGGGCCAAATGGTTTTGATGAAGAACTGTTAGATACTGAAGCACTTTTAGATGATGACTTTATTCCAAAAGAAGAGGAATGGAATGCCCAAGAGGTCCGAGCAATTGTTGATGAAACGGAAGAGAGGAAGCTAATGTCCGAAAGTGTTGATGCGTTTTCTTCTCGTTTAGAATCTCCCAACTGTCGCAAAGTGTTGGCCAAGATTCCAAAAGAAGAGGAATGGGATGCGCAAGAAATCCACGCAATTGTTGACGAGTTAACTGTTCTCCCAGAATCTCCAGACTGTCCCTTTCTTCTTCAATTGTCATTGGAAGGAAGCTATGCTCTGACTGCTATCCCTTCCTCATTCTTCGACCATATGCCTCTCCTCCAACACTTAAATTTGTCCTGTACCAGTATCAAGTCTTTGCCAGCATCTCTTCCCAAGTTGGTTGCACTTAAAACGCTCATTTTAAGGAACTGTGATCTCTTCATGGAACTCTCGCCTCAAATTGGACAACTTCATAATCTTGAGGTGCTTGATCTTGATGAAACTCAAATTTTGTTTCTGCCAAAGGAGATTGGAAATTTGTCCAACTTAAAATTTTTGAG